ATATCATTGATATGGTGGAAGCGAACCCCACGATTGAAGGTGAGTCCTATAGTTGCTTTCCCAAAGATGATGTTATCGCCGATGTGGGTGTGTCAAGCATCCACACCTATTGTGAAGGATGAGAAGATAATGAATGTTTGTAATTTGTGATGAATGTTGGCCTAGTATGTTATCTTATTAATATACTAATTAGTGTGTTTTGTAATAGGCAAAGGAGAAAAAGGGGGGAGAAAAGGGAGAAAGAAGAAGAAGTAAAGGAGAAAAACAAAAAAGCAAAGGAAGAGGGGAAGAAAATGGAGAAAGAAGAAGTAAAGGAGAAAAAAGAAGAAGCAAACGAGAAGGAGGATAAGAAAGATGAGCAGAAGGAGAAGGAAGATGAGAAAAAGGAGAAAAAGGAGAAAGAAGAAGAAGCAAAGGAGAATAAAGGTAAGCTGGTAATCTCTTATGTTGGTTTGCATGTTGGGTCTCATTGAGTGTTTTTCACTGCCTTATGTGCAGTCATATTGTTATGGGCGGTTATAATGTTATGACTCTCTAGTCATAAAACTATGACCGCCCATAAGGTAGTCATCGCGTGCCTTGACTGGCACAATATGATTGCCTTATGGGTGGTCACACTATTATGACTATTGAGTCATAATACTATGACCGCCTACCCATAAAGCATTCATTGTGTGCTATGAATGACACAGTATGACTTCTTTATGGGTGGTCATGACTTCCTTGTAGGTGGTCATACTAATATGACCGACAAGTCATGTCACTATGACCGCCCATAACCATAGTCATAGTGCTATGACTTTTAAGTCATTATTGGTTTATTTTGGCTTATATGACTGTGTATAAATAGAAAGGAATGAGCCGAGTCATCCAAAAAGGACCCGTAAGCCAACTCAACGCCTAATCGAATTGAGCCCTAATAAGGGTGATGTTACGAGGAGGATGGCTGGGCTGTTGAAGGTCATGATTTCGGCTTTTCCTAAACATTGGTGGTATTCAGGGAGTGGCTTAAAAAGAGCTTGCTTAAAAGGGTTGGTCCCGGGTAAGTCCATTATAGTGATCTTTAAGGTATTTCATTTCATTCAACTATATTAATATATGGCCGGTGTGATGTGATTAATTTCAGGAACCATCATTCCCATTACACGAGCCGTGTGGACTTTAGATCCATCGACAACAGATTGGGCTCCACCACTTCCTCTGTTACTTATTCCCTTATTTATGTCACTACCTTCTAGATCAAAAGAATCAGGTTCTTCACGATGTTGGCGGTCACAATCGATTCTATCATATTCCCCGAGAATGGTACTGGAGGAATGGGGAATTCATCTTCATCGTCCAATCCATATACCTTTTCAAAATTCGTGTCAATATTGCCGACACCAATATTTTGCTCAGCTTTATCACTATAACATGAAACGGATGTTGGTTTCACCAGAATGTGGTTATTTTCTCCTATCGCAGGTGGCAACGCTTCGGCTACTGACTCATCCACTATATCAATACATAGTGGAAATTTATTGAGTGAGTAAACATCCCTCTTTTTTAATTGCAGGTAGAATGTGACATCATAGTCAGGCGATATCTTCACAGGTGCTTTCTCATCTTCAACAACATAACTTAAGGATAAATTTTTTCCTTATGGCTGAATCCCAAGCACGTTTCTCATCACCAAATCTATAAGACCAATATAAGTTGTGTTGGTGGGGACTAATATCCCTTTAATTTCACAACCGATGTATCTCGAAGCACGGTCCCAATGTCCATTATACATGATGAAGACATTCAATCCAGCAGTTATTCCTAAATAATTTTAAAAACAATAACTGTTAATCAACATGCAATTACTTCTAGTCGTCATCGGTCATAAGGTAGTCATAGTGTGCCAGTCATAACACTATGGGTCATTTTAATCATAATATTATGACTGGACAGTCATATCACTATGACTACCTTATGGTCGGTCATAATAATATGACCGGACTATGACCGGCTATTTGACTCATACTATTATACTTTGACTCATTGACAATGACTCATACTGTTATAATTTGACTCATAGATAATGACTCATACTGTTATGATTGACTGATCATAATATTATAACTGGACATATAACACTATGAGTCATAATACTCTGACTCCCAAGGTCAGCTGTGTCTTTGACGTGGTGGTCATTACAATCAGTTTACATATAAATTATAAACCATATAAAATCTCAAATTGACGAAGGATAGTATCAATTCCTATCACATTAAATTCAACCCAGTCATTTTTTTTAGTTCTATGTATTAAGTGTTGGGAATAGTGTCCTAGAAGCATGAGATGTAATAAGATATTTATTATTTATTTAATAAAAGAGTTTATTCATCATTTTATGTGCATATATTTATGAGTATTTTATGAATATCAAATAAAAATTCCGTGATTATTTATGTAATCTTAAACATGGTATATAAGTGTTGTATATGGAAGGATAATGTTTAAGGATAATAATCAAAAAGTGATGTTCGTAATAAATCTAATTAAAGTTCAGAATCTTTAATTAGAACATTACTAATACATGTCATTCCCATTTAGAATGGAACGGTGTTATCCGCACTGTTAATATGGTGTGATATTGAATGAGTGTATTACGCATAATAAGATTATGTGGAACAAGAACACATACACAATATGAATTTCTAATAATTTCCGTTAAGTATAGAAATTCTAATTGAGTCTACCGATGATCATATATAGAATGATCTTAATCCTAAGTTCTCAACAAACTCCTATTTATGGATTTGTGTCTTTTGATTTACTCGGTACGGATTCTGAGACCCTGAATCCTATTTCTTGTATTTTGGAGACATGATGAAGTAGGTAACCGGGAATGTTATTATACGAGATTGAATCTATTCCTTCTTGAGAAAAAAGTAGATAAATAATTCTCCTGAGTGTTGATTCGGTACTTGGATTAGTAAGAGCACTCTGGTTCATGAATGTGTTTTATGAATCACTATCCATTAGAGAATCAATGGTACTCAAGAATGAAGATATAATTAGATAGGTTAACTGATTCTACTTGACTCTAATTATGAATTATTTATGGAGGATTGATCTATATGCAATGATTATATCAAATGGACACTTCACAGTTTAGAAGTAATTAATGTCTATAATTTTGAGAGTGCAATTCCAAGTTTATAGTGGAGTAATTATTAGAATTAATAGAATTAATTAATTAATTAAAGTGTTTAATTAATTATTAATTTTATTGGGGCTCGGGATTATAGGTCCATTAGTCCCCGCGTCGTCCTTGTAATTCTACCAGACACAGAGGGCAAAATAGAAATTTTAGAATTACAGAATTCTAAAATTAAACACTCGAAAATAATTAATTGAGAATTAATTATCATTTAAATAATGTGATTATTTAAATTTGAATTTGAATTGTGAACATAATTTAAATTTATCCTTTTAAACTTATTTGATAAGTTGTTTAATTTAGAATTTAAATTAATTTAAGTTTGACTTAAATTCGAATTTGAATTTAAATTAAAATTGGAACAGGATAAATGATGATTTTCTCTTCCTTCCCTATCAAGTATTGGCGCCACACACAAGGGATAGAAACCCTACATGGCCGGCTACTTAAGGGATAAGATGTATGAGATTTTTTGTTCCAAATTCAAATAGGAGATAGAGATTTGATTCCTTTTTGAAGTTTGACTTCTACTCTTTAAATATGAGAATGATAGAAAATTGTGGATACAATTTTTAAAAATAATTTTCTGCCCTAATTATTGAGTGTGGCCGAAATTTCTCATAGGGAAAAGAGAGGAAAATTTTTTCTCCAAAAAAATTCCACATCGTGCATGCGTTGGTGTTTGTGGAAATTCGAGTGTTATTGAAACCTATTTTGTCTCACGTGTGCCCACATACACGTCTACGTGGAATCAAGGAATTGACATGGAAGACTTTGGTTTTCTAAACACAAAGCTTGGAGCAAGGATTGTTCAAGGTCAAAGAATTCAAGTTATCGACCTAATCGGTGCTAGGTATTTATTCTTAATTGACTTCTTAATATATGAATTAATGAGATTAATTTATTCGTGCATAAATTAATATAATCTATAGAGTATCTCAAAGGTTTTATGAAAATCTTTGTTATACACGATCCGCCTCCCGCCACGCTTCCGCATCCGAATTCGATTCGGTTACCAACAATTGGTATCCGAGCTGTTTATAGACGATATTAATTTATGTTTCGATTATTTGATAATAAAAAATATGTGATATTTAATTATGTATGTATGTGATGAGTAGGCACTTGCATTTATGGATGTTTATATTTAATTCATGTTGATGAATGTATGGATGATGAAATTAGTCGTTAATTATATGGTTCCATGGATCGGTTATATTCATTCATTATAAATTCATTCGGAATTAGAATTATTGTATTTCTAGGGTTTGTATAGAATTAGGGTTTTGATTTTGAATCAAAAGGAGGCCTTGAAGATCAAGTTTGAAGCCCCCCAAGCTGCCCAGATATTTTCCCGTAAACAGCGTATTTTAGTGTGTTATGAATTTTAAGTTATTTCTAATATGTAAAAAACTAAGTAAAAATATACAATTTTCGTGTCAATTTCGAGTTCACGGGTCAATTTCGTGTCACAGGTCATTTTCGTGTCGTGTCGTGTCAATCTGTAAAGTGGTCGTGTCGTGTTCAGGTTGACTGTAAATTTAAAAATAAACGATCAAAACACGACACGTGATACGAATTGTCACCCTTAATATAATATTATTGAAAGGATTAATTTTATAAATGCTTCTTAAAATTATGCATTCTATTTTAAAATGCCCCCACCTTTTAAAAATAGTTTAAAACGCCCTTGATATATACAAAATCATATTGAAAAGATATTAAAAAATAATTGAGGTGATATGATTTTATTGAAAAGATATTATAAGGGACAGGAAAACGAATTCCCGAATCCCGCCCAACATGTGTTTTGAGCGCTCTCTTTGAAATTTCGCTCCATTTTCTTCCTCGCAAAGACCCAAAAAGAGGGAAAGAGCAAAAAGATAACCAAACCACAAAGAGAGAGAGAGAGAACGAGATGATCAATGGCCAACAACACGTTTGGGAAAACCATTTGCTCAATCTGCTACGAAGACCTGAAGCCCGTCGTTGAAGATCTCCAAGCCATCTCCATCTGCGGCCATGTCTTCCACGAGCTCTGGTAAGTGTTCCCTTCTCTCTCTCTAGACATGTATTTGTGCGAACAATCTGTCTGAAACTGTACCCTTTTTGCACGCTTGGCGTCGGCAAAACCTTAAGTCTGCAGCAGTGGTTCGAGTACTGCTCGAGCACGAAGAAGTGCAGTTGCCCTGTCTGCAAACAGGGATGCAAGGCGAAGGACGCCGCTCGGCTCTACTTCCAGTCGATCGGCGACTCGGCTGATCCGTGTCTCACTCAGAGGCCGATCGCCGCCGACCGCGGGGAAGAAGATTCCGAGGCGTTGCGGAGAGAGGTCAGGAGATTGGAAGCGAAGGTTCTAGGGCTTGACTCGGTGCTGGAGCGGCGGGGGAAGGATCTCAAGGAGCTCAACAACGAGGTATTTGTAGAAACAAATGAATTAGCATAAAGATTTTGATTGCTCTGTTTATTTTATTTTATTTATTTTGGGTTGTGATTTCGAATCTGTAATTGAAAATTAGTGGCAATTAGTATTTTTTATCAGATTGGAATTAAAGTTTATGGAGTTTATCATGTTCTTGTTAGTCTTTGTAGATCGTTGGGAAATAGATGACAGTAGGTGAAAAAAAGGGAGTTTAAAAGTGTTTAATTATGAAATGGACCCCAGATTAAGAACATATGCCGTAAAGTGCAAGGCCTTTTCGTGATATCGATAGAATGAAAGGTTTTAACCACAATACATAAGGTTGGAGGTTTGGAGCTCAACAATGAGGTATTGGAAAATTTATAAAAAATAGGAAGTCTTCAATGTTTGCTTTAGAAGATCCCCTTATTTGTAATTGCTGATGTTTCAAATTCTTACTCAGATAATTGTAGGTCTTGTTCAAGCCACGGTATCCAATACTTTGATAAAGAGTTAAAGATTCATTTTTGGTCCAGGAAAGATGATGTAAAATAGAGAAATTCTCGCATCCCGAATAATTCTTGCAATGCAATAATTCAACTTAGAGTATGTTTGGTTAGAGGTAAAGAAAATAAGAAGAAAAAGAAGGCATATGATCTAGGTGGGGAAAGTAGAGAGGACGGAGAGAACCTTTCTCTTATTGTATTTGTTATGGATTCACTCCTCTAATCTTGCTATATTTGGAGAGATTAAAATTGGGCTCATTGAAGGATTTGAAATTCCTCACCCAACCATTCCCTCCTCTTTTCTCTCCTACAAAACAACCATGAGTACCAAAATCTCTCCACTAATCCATTCACTCATCTCTCCCCTTCCCCTTTTTTCTCCTAAGGTCCTACCAAACAAGCTCTTAAAGTGAACACTAGAAATATTACTCGAATGTGCCTAATGAGGCCATTTAGCTTAGATAGTTCACGTCTATAGGCTTAGATGGTTCACGTCTATAAAGAAAAAGAAAAAAAGAGAAAAAAATTACATGTTTCAAAGTGAAATCGGCGTTAGATATTTTTTCCTCATTGTTTTTTATACCAGTTCGTATTGGAGCATACCATGAGGATAAAAAAAAAAAAATCCTATCGCATGCATAATGTGCCATTCTAACATTTTGTCATTTAGATTCTCAGCAAGTAGTAAATGAAGGGTTATAATCTCTTTGTTGGTTATTTATTTTCATCGTGACTGCTTTTTGTCATTTGGTTAATTTGTGGCCTTTTGTTTCAGCTTTGCCTTTGTAAGGAGCAGGAGAAAAAAGAAACAGCATTGAAGAATGAAGCCTTGAAAGAAAAAGCATTCATGCAACAGCTGCTTCGCGTGAAAACTGAGGTGAACTTTTGACTGCACTGTTTTCTCTTAACAATTAGGCTTTATTCTGCAAACTTCTACATGAGAAATTCTAATAAAGTTTTTGTAAATTGTGTCATAGGAGCTCGATAAATCGACTTTGGAGTGCTTAAGGTTGCAAGAAAGAAGTATGGCTTTGGCGAAAGAGCTTGCGGCATTAAAATTGTAAGTGCATTTGCAATGAGGATGATGTCATTTACCTTAGTTTTTTACTTTTTCCTGATAAGATTTGAATATGAACTTGCCTCAGACCTACTCATATTACTGTTTTCCAGTTAAACACAGCTGAAAGGTCACTGCAGGAAAATAAATAAATAGATTAATAATTCGTTACATATTTGTTTGCTTGTGTTACTATTTGTTGCTAAGACATATATATGGCTTTTGTTATCCAGGGTATCTGATTTAGATCTGGATGAAGATGAGGTTCTAAAGCTTGCCTCCTTTGGTAGTGGGGGTAATAGTCAAGATACGGTTGACATTTTACGAAGGTCCTTGGTTATGCGGAATAGGTAGTCTACCTGAATTTCCTTTAGTATGTACCATAATAGATTTGGGAAGGAGAAAGATGATTGACGCCGGTTAATGTGTTTGATCTTAGTCTAATTTTTGAGCAAATTATCAGTTAATCACTCCTTCATTTTACTCTTAATGAAATTGGTTAAGCTTTATTATTCTTTCTTTCTTATGTTTTGATTTATTTGACTTCGCTGTGTACTCATCTCATAGGAGCTACAAAGAATTGATGGCTAAGTGCAATCTTCTTGGACGAGGAGAGTCTCGATCTACTAAAAATTTAGAGAAGGCCAAAGAAAAGATAAACAGATTGAAGGTAAGTGTAGTTTGAGGATGTTAGTGGTTCTCATTGATGACTTTTTCCTCAATTATTATCTTGTGGCCATCATCAGGAAAGGGTAAAAGAATTGGAGATAGCTGTTGAACTTAAAGATAATAAAGTCCTGAGGGAACTGAAAGCTTCCAAGAAAACTCATTTGGATGGGCTTGTTAACGACGGTGTGAACTGTAAATCTGATTCTTTATTCAACAATTATGTATCAGAAGACCAAAATAAACAAAGTTCTGTGCCCAGGCTTAACTTGGAGCAGTCAGGAAGCTTGCAAGATGATCTATTGTGTCCTAGAAAAGTACAAAACTGCAAACCAGCAGATTATGTTGATATGGATTATACTCGAGGTGGTCCAGGTACCATATCTTATAATAAAGAGGAGAATGCTTGCTCTTTAATAAATGTGGATGTCTCAAAATCTTTTATGTCCGTTTGTGAACATCCCAATCCTGCATCAAAATGTAAAATCACAGAGGATGTCATTGTCTTGAAGCCTGCTCCGAAAATATCAAATGCAACTTCTGATATGGAGAAAGAAACCTCTGTGCGTCAAGAAAGTAACCCTGATGTGCCTTTGAGTTCAAGAACTAGTGTTGACAGTACCCCCAAGACCTTTGCTGTTGATATTGATGACGATGTGACTTTGCTTCTTGATGATGTTGCACAAGTTGAACCCACGCTTAACATTAGAAAAGAATCTTCTACCCCATTGCCTCCTTCCAACCCAGGTATTTGCTCATGCTTTTTTCAGTTTGATTTGAACAATGCATCATAGAAATATTAGTAAAATTTGCCTGAAGAAAATTGGTTGCTAAATTGTTCTCACAACTGCAGGAGGCATATGTTTTTCTGGTGGATTGCTTGCGCCTGATGGAACAAACAGGTATTTGGGTAAATGGTGTAAGCGGGGTCAAAACAAGGAGACAAGAGAAGGTGTAAACACAAGTATTTCTGGCGATTTGATTGCCATTGGAGCTGATGGAAGAGGTGGTAGGATCAAAGTTCTGAGATCTCTGAACCAATCCTCACTGGTGGGTTGATATATTTTGTTTATATTGAACACATTAATGTTGTCCAAATTCCAAATAATTTGCTAAACTGTCATATGCTAATTTGGATTTTGACCTGATATGTCTTATAATTTGAGGTTCTTGCTGTTGCGCAGAACACTGTTAACATTGTAAGATATGTTGTGCTATCAAAACATTAGCACGTTGCTTCGGCCTTTTTTTTACTCTATGCGTTAGTGTCAGATCAAACTTCTTTGTCCGAGATCCAAATGAAAAACATGCATTCTGACTTTGCAGGATCATAAGGAGACTTCAGTAGGGGTAAAGAGGCGCAAGAATGGACCCACGACAAACAGTCAACCGTCCCGAGGATGCTTGCAAATTGAACACTTCTTTGGAAGGGTTAATAACTAACAATTTAGAGGGTCTCAGAAAATAGGCCAGGAATCCCTCAAGAAGACCATTCTTTTGGCCAGGGAGAAAGAGTAAAAGTTCTTTTTTGCCAATTATCTGGTCATGCATACGTTCTATGTAGGAGGAAGTCATTGGCGAAAGAATAAAAATGGCCTGTGCTTGTTTGTAGATGTATTTATTGACCTTATTACGTTTGAGTCATCCCCTGATCTTGGATGGGCTGGTTCAACTCAAGAAGCTACACATCAATATGGTTTGGTGCCTTCCGGGTCAGACCTTTCCTAATGAAGCTTGCCTTTAGGTCCTTGGTCAATGAAGAATGATAAGTTGTAATTTTGTCTTCTTTCAAAGTCAACATAGGTAAAAAAAAAACCTCCAAAAGACCCACTTTGAAGAGTTTGTTATACGATCAGTGAGTTATTTTCATCCAGTTGCTGCCTGGATTGACATAAAGCATCATGTTGTTTTATGGACTTTTGGAAACCTAAATTGGTTTTGGAAGAGCAACGTAGAGAAAAGGAGCGTTGAGATAATGTACTTGGTGTGCTGAACTTGACTTTGCTCCATAAAATATACTTTGGTTAGGCTTCGGTTCTGGGGTGGCGGGAAAGTTTTTTGCATGGGATGTTTGGTAGCCCAAAGCTATTAGGAGACGTTTGGTTTATGGATTAAAATCATGAGATTAGAATTATTTTTAATTTACGTGTATTTTTTATGAGAAAAAACACTGTAGCAAATCATGAATCATGATTCGAATCGGGATATGAATTCTCCAATCAAACAACCTCTTAGTGTTCAGAGTATTTTTAAAGAAATTATAGCTAATAGTTTGTTTTTTTTTTTGTTTTTTGTTTTTTTTTTTGAGGGAAGCTAATAGTTTAGTTTTGGAATCTTTATGTTTGTATCAATGTTAATAATTAGCATATTTAGTTTCTTTAAAAATTTTGTACAGGTAATGAATGGATTTATCAACTAAAAATTAGTAAATATTGTGTAAATAAAAGAAATTAGTAACTATTATTAAGAAAATGTGTATAACTTGTGGTTTCATAGAAATCCGGTAAATCCTAGTTTATCAAACTTGATAATAGAGAATTCTAAGAGAATCTCAAATTTATTAAATTTGATAGTAGGATGAAATGCAGTTAATCTTGAATTTATTAAATTTAGTTATGGGATAAATCCTATACATTTTTTTTTTTTGGAAAGGGAAATTGTATTTAATTAAAAATTTATAAATAGTTATTTTGGTATAATGTTAATGATCTATTAGAGGGATGAATGCACGTTTGAGGCCTGAAAATAAGAGAACATCTCGAGACACTAACAATGAGCACACATAAAGCTCGAATTGACAAAACTCATCCCATTAAGATATGCTTTCGAGCAGTGGAGAGACATATTGCCAAACACTATAAAAGGGGGATATCTACACGACATAAAAAAAAATTGTAACCGAACCAAGACAACCCTGTCATGAGACATGCAAACAACCTTAAGCCGATCACCAAAAACTAACAATAAACAGCAAAACAAACAAGGGTTGGGTAAGGAGAACACCCTTAGTACAAACACAAAAATTACATTAAAAAAATAGAAAAAACCTCCAACCACCATCGTTAGAAGCCTTCGGTGAAGGGCAACCGGCCAATGGGCCGTCGATGGAGATAGCCGGCCAAGAGATCTTAGACACCAAATGACAAAGTTACCTGGAAACGAAGCCCATCCGGTCGGCTTTCAAGTTCCAACCCGATTTAGATCCACCTAAACAGAGCCACCACATTGTACACTATCACTACTAATGAGAAGCTCACGACGAGAGAACTAGAGGACTAAGTTTCATGGCCGGGAGCTCGGCCACATGCCCGAAGATAACTTGGAACTCTGGCCGTCGTTCACTCTTTTTTCTTTAGTTCGTGTGAGGGAGAGTGAAAGTTTAATACTACGATGCGTAATTGATTTATTTTATACATTTGAGTATTTTCTATTTACTAACCAAAATCTTCTACTATTTATTTTTATTTCCTAAATAAAAGATATTACTTTTATACTATCTTGAAAACATTAATTTTTACTTGATCAAATGTTCGTCATTTTTTCATTTTAGGATCCATGATAGTGATGCATTGGTTACCACTCTTCATTAAAAGATAGTTACATTGATTGATTTTTTTTTTTTTTTTTGGGGGAAAAGATTGTATGCAGGCTACGTTGCCATTGGAGACAAGCTGATGGTGCTCACAAATAGAATCCCAAATTTCTATTTCCTCTACTATGTTAAAGAGCAGATAGCTTTTTACTGTACAACTTTGATATCATTCCGTTTTATTTTTTCTTTCTTTCTTTTCTTTTCTTTTCTTTTCTTTTCTTTTCTTTTCCTTCTTTCTCTCACTTTGTGTTTAGCTCTCTCTCTACTTCTCTTTCTAACTCCCGTCTTTACTCATTTTATTTCTTTTTTTTTTCTTTTATAAACATTTTCTCTCTTTCTTTTCTATTTTTCATTTCCTTATTATTTGCTCTATTAGTCTACGGTAAACTTTTGTACCAATATTGCCCTACCTCTTTCCTTTCCGTTCCTCTTTTATTTTCTTTCTATTGCAATTTTTACGCCCTCAAAGATTTCTTGAACCTATCTTAACTTATCAGAATAAAACTCATTTTTCTGATCAATTCTAACTTATTATGGTTAGTTTCTTTCATTCATTTCACGGTCAAGTTAGTTAATAAACTGTATATTTAATAAATCACAAAATAATTAGACCACTAAAAGTAAATATCAATGAGTCAAAATAAAAATAAAATACGTATCTTTATAAGTTATTTGTACAAATAACTCTTTTTCTTTTTGGATATATAGGTAAACTCTTTCTTATATTTATTCTTCCCATTCATAATCTAGATTCTTTTAGTCTATATTTAAGTTATAAAAAACTTTAATTACAACTCAGTACGCACGCGTATTACAGTACCTCAACTATATACGTGTGTATCTTAAAAAATGGACTTGTGGCTACTGTCAATTTTAAGGGTAATCCAAAACTGAAAACGGTGAGTTTTAAGGGCCTTTTTTCTTCTTCGTTTTCTTCTTCAGAATATTGAGTCTTTGTCGTCTAGTTAACTGGTTGGGTCCGTCTAGTTAACCGGTTGTTCACGCCGCATCTATTGTTTCTAATGTGACGTTTGGGAAGAGGATTCGTACTTTGATTCGAATCATAATTTATAGTTTGTTATAGTATTTTTTCTCATAAAAAATATACGTAAATAAAAAATAATTATAATCTCATGTTTCTAACTCATGAAATTTTTCATGGATACAACCGTATGTTTTATATGATATAGAAAAAAAAACTACTGATAATCTCAGTATTCTTATAAACACAGAGAACATGAGATTTTCCATTAAAGACAGTAAAAGTTTGTGTAAATATTATCTTCTGTATCTACATCATATTATTTGTTAACTGAGCCTGGCCGTTAAAGCATGTGCTGGTGCTAGTTTGTGGATCGATATATATTATCCATTAATTGGAATGTTTGTCTGGTAATGAATTGGAAAAACCATAAAAAAAAAATCCGATTTAATTCTTACATTATAATTCGTACAAACATTTTACAAAATTTAATTTAAACCTCAAATTTAGATTTTTCAAATTTTGGTTGTCATTGATTAGGTCATACAGTTGACTTGTTTGTCTTTCTATAACTTGGAAATTAAGAAAAGAAATTGGCTTTAAATTACACAATTCCACGGTTTCAACAACTACCTCATTTTTAATAGCCAGCAAATCGGTGTGTAAATCGACTTAAGTGATCTTCTCGTGAGCTTCAGTACCTTTTCTCATAGTAATTGGAAGGGGACAAACTGTTGCTGCGTTTTTAGTTTTAAAAACGAAATAGAAAGCCAAAAAAAAAAAAAAAAAAAGAAATAAACGAAGAATGAACTTTAAGCTTCCAAACAAAGCACGCACGTGTGACTCGTAAAAGCATGCAAGAGTATTTGATAGTTGCCATGGAATAACTTGTTGATCATCAACTGCATATGAATCACATTGCAAACCAAACATTCCGTACTAATAGAAGAGCAAATTTCCAAGTAAACTAATCATCATCATTTTTTTTATTTTTTATTTTTTTCGAAAGAGCATATTCTCTATTCTTATTTTTGAAAAATCTGAGCTGATGACTAGTTTATTTTTATGACATGTTTGGTACTGTATTAACATTTAAAACGAATATGGGATTTGCGATTTGCTAACATTTATAATTTAATACGATACAAATTAAGTACTATAATGTATAAAAATTATACAATACGATATGATATAATACAATATGATTTATATAATAGGATATAATACAATATTATGATATAATATGCATGGCACACTAAGCGTATCCTAAGCATGATCTTTTATTAGACTCATAAAATAAAAAATAAAAAAATTCCAAGTTTTCCACCAACTTCGTTAGCTCATGGAATTTTTATTCAATCTGAACTTCGAATCACAAAAAGAGTAGGGCAAACTAAATCACTCTAAATTGTAAACTTAGCGCGTAAAACTTTTCTTCTATTTCCCCCCTCTTTCTGTATATCTGTTAGAGTTATTATTTGTTAGGTATTTTTATTAGTTGGTAATTTAAGGACAATTTTGTAAAAATTTAAAAAACAGGTTCAAGAAGATTTTGTATTGCAGAAGAAGATTCGGAATCAGATTTGGAGAGATAAGGATAAGGTCTTAGTCAAAAGAAGATAATGCATTGGTTATTTGAATTTAAATGTGATTCTAGAAAGAGATAAATGAGATATGGATTTAAATTTAAAGTGGAGATCAAGCTTAGTTTATCTTTGGAATATATATATATATATATATATATATATTGGCACTTAGAATTTACGTGATGTTATCCACACAGAGCCAATGTGATAACTAAGCCATTGTGAAGATATTATGCGCATGGAGATTTGAAGTTTGACTTATATTTGAAGAATGGGCCGGAAGCAATTGGATGTTTTCAATCTACTTTGGCGTTATCTACTTGCCTTACATGCAATACTCGGTGGATGTTTTTTTGGAAAATCAAGGAGATAATGAAGCAAAGTTGTTTGTGTAGATAAGATATCATGCATATTACTTGGAGAAGATCGTGGAGAGAATTTGAATAAGCTATCTTGGTGGGTTAAGAGATTTGTTATGGGGCCTATGTGATTAACGTGAACTAAGGGGAGTTTTAGAAGCTTTCTAAAAGTAAAGGCCGCAAGGTTGCTCTGTGATATATGGATTTAATAGAATATCTCCAGAGGAAAAGTCTGTGAATTTGAGAGCTTACTACTGAGAAAATATTCAGAGAGACGTCTGTGAGTTTTTATGCGTTATTGAGA